AAACATATGGAAGGAATCTGTTCCAGACTGCATTTGTCTTTTGCCGTAGCTCAGACTCTGGCACAGGATCAGGAACGTTGAAAGCACTGTCTGGCGCGTCTGCCTCCGCGACCCGAAAGGAGAAGCGGCGATGGAAGATGAAGATGAAAATGAAGGCTGCATTCTCAGGCTCAGAAATAAGTTGCTGCATTAGTTTCTCTCCGTATCGTTAATGCGTCCCTACCGGTATGGATTGAAACTGATTTGCCCTGTAGTTCAAGCCGACAATGCCGGATAATGGGTTTATTGGATCAGTCCTAAAACTATCCCTATGCCTCAGCCTCAGCGTTGTTGCCTGCATGTTTCACATTACGCAGTTACATGTTGCAGATGTAAATTTAGGCATGGAAAATGGAAATATTGAGTTAAAAACTACATTTACCAGTTTAGACGGCAGCATATTTACAAATTGGTTTCATTTTCACTAGTAAGGTTAATTTACAAATTTCAAATTTTACAGAGGGCAATTACATTCAGATTTACACAGCACAAAGTTTAGAGGAGGCAGGTGGAAGTTTGCGCGTAGCATCCAAGGTGAAACTGAGTGTAATTTTATTTTGTGAAGTGATAAATAATATCAGTTCCTGAAACGTCGTTTTTAACGAGAGCGAGCTGGCTCTAGGGATCAACATAATACGATGAATCTGTCATTGCAGATGCTCAGATTCTATGCAGTATGTGCCTTCTTAAATGGTGCCCCCTCTAGCATCTAGGGTGAAGTGGGCGATGCATTGCGCGGTTAAATCTACTGTTGTTGGAGTCATGCATTATATGTTTCTGATTTCGTAAAAGTCGAAACCCCCGCATGCCTCGAATTGTTTATATAAACTGAAACTAGTTTGTAAATATACTGCTATTTTTAAACAGCTACTGGCTGATTAAAAATGTTTTCACATGTGTACGTATGTCGTTGCGTGTTTTCGATGGAGCGCTTTTGTCGTGGTGTCATTGAAATTGGAGTATATCGTACGCTAATATGTGTAATGAATGTTGATGATATATTATATATTTACCATATTCGTAGACTGCAAGAAGTGGAAGATCTGAACTATGATCGTAACACGTCGAGCCTTCACGCTCGTTCTCGGTCCGCACCGGCTGGCAGCCCCAAAATCGCTGACAGAAAACGTAGTATTAGACCGGTTTTACTCACGTTTCATTTTTGACGTACTTTATCTTTTAGTTTCTAAAAAGAAATCGAAGGCGAACGAAAAGTCAGCTGTCCAGTTTCTGGAAAATCCTTCACTCAAACCAGTTCTCCTCCTGTTCGCCATTGAAACAATCAAAAACTACCTTCTGCTGCTGCAGAACTCGACGAATCCAGAAGTTCTCGAAGCAAGTGCTGGCGCTATTCAAAATCTGGCGGCTTGCGAATGGGAGGTAATGTGTTTTCGTTTTTTTCGCGTTTGACAACCCTGCAAATCGTTCTACTTGTTGTAGCCGTCTCTTGAAGTGAGAACCGTTGTCCGTAAAGAAAAGGGTTTACCGATTCTTGTGGAATTGCTACGAACCGACACGGAGAAGGTGAAATGCGCTTCAGCGAAGGCGCTGCGAAATTTGGCGCTGGATGGCAGGAATAAAGAGTTGATCGGTAACTTAGCAAAGCTTCTGTCGAAAGCTCGTTTCCTGCATGTTCATCAGTGACAGCATTGGCTTCTTAGGCAAGTACGCTATGGCCGAACTCGTCAGCCTCTTGCCTGGTTCGATTGTTGAACAAAATTTGTCTGAAGAGACGATCATCACCGCTCTGAGTTTGATTTATACGACCACGTCTAAGAACCCTGACTTCACCAGGGCTTTTCATGAGAGAGGCGGCACCGAGAGGCTGGTCAGCATTTCACGCAGTCGAACTCTTTACAGCTCTAGAGTGGTCATGTATACCTCACAAGTGAGTGTTTTCTATTTGCTGCTGATATTCATGACATTTATGCATTGTATATACTATTCAAGCAATTAGATGAAACTGTAAGGAGAATAATGAATTTGACAGAGTTTTTCCGTTTTATCTTCCCATCGGATCGGCGTTGAAAACAGGGGACAGAGACCGAACAAATGTTCATCAGCCATACAACAAACGTCGACTGAAATGTTTTTTTTTTATTACCATTAATCTTAGGAAAGAAGAAATTGACTACCCCAGGACGGTGCTATTAGCTAAGTAAATTAGTTCCGTGCATTCTGATGCACTGAGTACCAGTTCACGAAGTGGTGACCACGGCATTAACTCGTTGATTGCAAGCTCATGAGCACGCTTTTCAAGATTGACCAGTTCATGATGTGGTGACCACGGCATTAACTCGTTGATTGCAAGCTCATGAGCACGCTTTTCAAGATTGGACGAAGCGGGACATTTGACAGAGGTTCATATGGGTATGTGATACAGGAAACGAACCCACTTTGTGGAGT